CTTTCAACACATCATCTTCGGATTGATTCTCCTATCCAGCAAGACGGAAAGAGGGGAGCGAAGAAGCAGACGGAGAGAGAGAAGAAAAAGAAGATCTTGGCAGACAGGAGGAAGCCTCTCAACATCGACCATCTCAGTGAGGACAAAGTGAAGTAAGGAGACTGTTTTTACTGGTAGTCATTGCTCACAGATCTGTAGACAGGCTAATATCCACATTTACGGTCTGATGCAGGTGATTTGTTTGTGAATAAACGTTCCATTCCTTGTATCGTAGAGTTTTGATATGGCCTTTTAGTTTTCTGTTTCTGAAATACTCCTCTTTTTGCTCAAAAGGGAGAAGGCCAATGAGCTGTGGCAGTGGCTGATGACTCTGGAGGCTGAGAAGTTTGACCTCAGCGAGCAACTGAAGAGACAGAAATATGATGTAAGTACTTTGCCCCGGGGCTTTCATGTGCCAATCACTCCGTGAAATGATAAAACAAAGAAATGAAAACCTTTTTTTTTTTTTTTTTCCTCCAAACATCGATACACACTTTTTGAAGAACTTACCTACTTTTACAACAACAGTGTAAGGTTTAATCAATAACTATAGGTTGACATTCTTGGAAACACTCTTTTTTTAAGAGTTAGATCGATACAACTCTCATGTCTGTGTGGTAGCCCAAATATGAAGCTACAGCTAGCAGTTAGTTAGCTGCTTAGCTCAGCACAACACAGGAAACAAGAGGTCTGGCTCTGTCCAAGCAAATATAACACGTTAGGTAGTGAGTTCTACAGGTGCTGGTAGGCCCATGTTACCTGTTACCTTTGAATGGAGCCAGGCTAACTTTTTCAAGTCTTTATGCTAAGCTAAACTAAGCTACTGTAGACACAAGTGTTATCAATCTTATTTTCTATCTCTCAGCAAGAAAACTCCTATGTTTTGCACATTGTCTTACTATTATTTGAACTTTTCTTCAAATAGTTGTTTTTTTAATAAAATGAAATGCAAATGCTCTCATGTGCCTCAGATCAGCTACAATATGTTTACTACTTAACCTGATTTATTGACGATATTATTTTGAATCTCAGGATAAAATAATAATGACCAACATTGCAAATTCATGGCATACAGCCTACAGCCCTGAAAAGCCACAGAATACGAAAGCTGAAACGGTATGTGCATTTAAGTGCAAGGTTGTCCTGAGGGCGCCTATCTAAAATGAATGTGACTTGACTTCCAGATCAATGTACTGCAGAGCCGAATCAATGAGCAGCAGAAGTTGTGAGTAACTGTTAATGAGGAGTGTGAGCCTCTTGGTTGTTGTGTAGGTTTGCAGTCCGTGTGTTGAAGGGTCACAGACCGAGCCTTGGACAGTGGAGCGGGGGAACAAGTCTGAGCGACAGTCGCAAACAGAAGGTGAAACTGGTAGCGTGTGTTGATGAAGAAACCCGCAGAAGCTGCCACATGGTTTTGTTTAATCCAGTAAGAGAAGTCCCAGAAGTCAGGTATCCTACTGAGAGTTAGATGAGAAGATCAATACCACTCTCGTAGCTGTCTGGTAAATGTAAGGCCTTGGCGAGCAGCCACGGGTATCTTACTTTAGCATAAAAATTAGAAATGGGGAAACAGCAAGCCTGACTCTGTCAAGGTAACAAAATCCAGATTAATCCAGCAAACAAGATATAACATGTATTTATGAGCTTCATGCTGCATTCATGCAGCATTCATGCAATGTCAGTAAAACTTTCTGTTAATTCAGACATTATTCCTAAATGATTACCCCCACTGTTAGCCTTGTAATCATATCTTTTAAATAGCCAGAATTTGCTAATTCTATTCTAGCTAAATCAACTGTATGAGTGTGAATATTGGCTTGTAACCTCCAGCTATGATAGCTTTGCAGCCAATATCTCCGAGGCTCATAGTTACTGTCTGAATGATATGACGTGAACGCAGCATTAGAGATGATGGAAGCCAGGTTTTGTTACCTTCAGACAGGTCAGACTAGCTGTTTCCCCCTGTTTCAAGTCTTTATGCTAAGCTAAAATTATCTTTCCGAAAATGTTGAACAATTCCTTTCTTGTGTCTGAAAGTCCACAAGCACACATTCCACAATAGTCCACAAACATATTAATGAAACATAATCTGGAAATGTTGCACTGTTTAAAATCTGATCCAAAAAAGATCTGTATCTCCAGAACATCATTTCAGCTGTCATACTTTGTTTCCAACTTCTGACAGCTATAATTTGATCTGATTTCGCATTTTTCTGTCAGAGGTGGAGAGCTCTTCCCTCATCTGTAGCTGCAGGGGACAGTTTGTCTTGTAATGACGCAAGCGCAACTGAAACACGATGATAAACATTTCAGTTCTGAGATTCTGTGGCCTTTCCTTCAGGATTTAGTTTAATGATCAGCTCAGACTAGAGGTGAGTCCCCAACTGCAGATTCATTTCTTTGAATGTGGGGTGAACATATCTTGCTCTGCTGAGTTCTTCTGTAGGACCACGCGGTCCGGTCTTTGTCTCTGCTTGTGTCCGCCTGTGTCCGCTGTTGTCCCTGTGCTTAGCCAGTCCTTCATGTTTGTCCCCCCCCACAGATCAATCAGCTCCTGGCTCGCGTTCAGGACCACCAGAGGTAAGTAGTAGCCACCTTTGAAGCAGCCTTTGAGGTGTGGCTCATATCGGCGCTGGGAGTATTTTTGGCGTTCCTTAAAGCTCCTGATGTAGTGTCGACGGAGTTTAGGTCCTCATTTAAAGAGCCTCAGGAAACGTCGCGTCAGATCATATATTTCGTTGAGAAACGTTGAGGATATAAAGTGTTTTCTTTCAAACTAATTTGGCATGTGATACACAGCTTTCACTGCCCTATTCCATTCTGAAAGACAACCTTTATTTGCCCAACTCCTCTACGTAAAATACAGTTGTTCATGTAAACCCCCATATACAGATCGTCAGTGTGTTACATTATCTCTTACACCCCAAGGCCTTTTAAGCTCACATCATCCGGCTTAATATAAAGTGGGGACATGCGATGCAGTCTTTGAGTTGTGAGCATAGAAATAGTTCTAACTTTGTACAGAGCAGATCTCACCTTCCTATGGCTGTAAACAAGTAAAATATAGATGATTTTTTTACCTGTTTCAGACAGCCATGGAAAAGATCAACTCAGTAGCAGACAGTCTGCCATTTTAAGGCATGCATGCAGTATTTGATTTCACCATACTGTACTGGTTTCTTACTCTGCTTAATATTTTTTATTTTATTCTCTTAACTGATCTAGCAAGTTTTCTCCATTCACCCATTACTCAACATCCCTCTTTACATCTTCATTCAGGCATTGTGAAAACATTGTGTTCCTGATCCACAGCTATATTTGAGCTTTGACATGGTAAAACAGAGAAGCAGTGTGGTGGTTTGAGCGAACATCCCAAAGTCCCACATATTCGCTAGTTGTTTTTTTAAACTGCTTTGTGTAACATTATCAGTTACAAATTTTAAAATGTAAACCTATCTGAACCGAACCTCTTGGATAAAATAAAGTCTCTTCAGAAGTTATGTATGTCAACGTTTTAAGGGCAGAAAGTGGGACGTCTGTGTTGAATAAGCGGGTAAGTGTCTACAGTCTGCTTTTTAAGTCAAATATCTGGTAGAATAAAAGTGGATGTATCAGATCTTATGGGCAAAGGTGCAAAAGAGAACAAAGGCAGCATATCAAAGGTAAGGCTGCTGCTCAGAGGACACAATCATCATTTGCCAGCTGTGTGAAATCGAGTGCTTTGCCCTTTTCTAATAGCATGACACTCTGGTGTTTTGGCCTCTTCCATCCTTTTCATCGCTTTACTCCAGTTCACTCTCTTCCATACCTAATTTCATTTTCCTAATCAATACTACAGCACACGGGGAAGTACAGAGCACGTGCACTGACGATATGTTCCACAATTAAATTCTGTATATATGCAGACAAGAATATGTACCGTATCCGTAGCAACAAGTATCAAAGCTCGCATCGAACATTTGTTTAAATTAAAATTTTATTTAAGCAACATTCTTGTACAGCAGCCTGTTAACATGAACTATTTGAGGACATTGGCTTGTTTGGATAAATGAAAAAGGGATTTTGTGGAAAAACATACTCGAGACAGAGTTTTGCTACTGATTAACAATTTTTTGATACTTTATTCTGAGGAATATGAGCATGTTTTTCTAAAAAGCCTTAAAGTAATATTTACTTTGCTGTACAAGAACTTTGTTTAAATAGTTTTCTGGAAAGATTTCTATTTAAATTGATGACCCAAAGCATTCGAAATTAAAAAAATATTTTAAAATAAATTAACATATGTTAACTACAGACAAAATATCTAATATAACCATTAGACTCAGCTCATTATTATGAACTGTATTTCATCCTGCTTCTTTTAATAACAGAACTTTATTGCATTGTGTGATCAGAGCCAGTTGTGTGATGCTTTGGTCTAAATGAGCGGCCAATCACAAGAATGAACGGATGAGAAGAGTTCATATTGATGAACTGAGTTTGTGTCGGATCATTTCACAATTATACGGTTATTAATTTAAAATGTATTTATTCATATCATTATTTTACTAAATTATTTAAATTTGAACCATTCTGGCCTCCATTCTGCTTCGCCATGACTGTCAAATGATACCCAGAGTAAATGAAGGCGGAACGATCGGCTTAATAAATATGAATTTGTGCTTGCACACAGTAAGCCTGTTAACTGATTTTTGTTTCCACAGCGCCAAAGGAAGAGGCAAGGCCAAGGGCAGGGTGAGATAGACACAACCCCGTCAGCAGGAGTACTTCGTCTGAAAATGAGCCGCAGTATTGACATAATGTACACGTTAACAATAAAACAGCACCTGCAACAGCTGGTATTAGACATAGGCAATAAAGACTTGTTTAAGTTTGAAACTAATGGCTATTTCTTCTTACTTTCTACCAATCTCCGTTGTCTCTGTCAGTTTAACAGCTTCAAAGCAAATGAATCCAAATTGTTCAATTGGCAATAAAATAGCTCTATTTATTCTTTTGGGAACCATACACAGAACCACAGTGCACCATAAATTTCACATGTAGGCAGCGATATGTAAACATGATTAAATGACCTACCGCAGCAAGCTGCAATAGTGCTCATTACGTTATCCACACACTTAAATAACACGTTAATAAATAAAGATTTTGATGGCAATACAGTGTCAAGATGGACTTTTCTATAAAGTACAGTGTGGTGACAACAGTGCAAAAAAATAAAGTGATGGAGTATATACACAGGTAAGAGGACTAACATCTGCTGCGAGTCAGGACCAACTCACGTATTTTAAATTTAACGAACCAATCCCTGCTGCTATGACTTCTGAGGTTTCATGGTTTCTGACACATGACAGCTACTTCTAAATGAAAAAGTTGCAGGTGAGGAGATGAATAATATTTTTTGATTTTTGTTTTTATAACCTAGAGGCAAAAACATTTGCAGAATTCTTTGTGGAGCTTCCAAAATGACATCAAAACTTTCATTTCCACTTCACACAAAAGTCCATTTCCAGTCTGGTTAACCACTGTCTGTCAAATATGGAAAGTACTTTGCTTTTGGCTGCACTCTCGATTCCTCCACGAGCTCTGGGTGGCAACTACAGTCTCTAAAATCTTACCTCTAACATTAGCAAACAGAGGCAGTGCATTTTCCTATACTCAACAACACCAAGCATTTTAAATAAACAACTTCAATGAACGTTAACGTTCAGGTGAGCTTATATGATACCTTACAGTACATTTGAGCAGGGATCAGAACAGTGCATTTTCATGGTTGCAAATCCAAACTGTCATGTTCAGACATGATGAGTGCATGGAGCGTCGGTCCTTCAGGCATGATGGAGGAGATAACAGATCAGGTTCAGCTCCCTTTGTTGGCTTTTTCACCACAGATGTGTCTCCCTGATCTCAGCGATCACCTGGCTGGCTTTCTGCAACGCCTGTCGACAAGGTTTTTAACAAAAAAGCCCCAATGAAATGACTGGTAAAAGAACCTCGATTCATCAGGGGAAACTAGACACTGCTACAAGGTGGGTGTGTGTTACCTGTAGCATGTCGGCGGCCTCCTTGCGCCGCTGGGCCATGTCCTCCGATTCAGTCAGCAGATCGTTGAGGAGGCCAGATTTATACAGCTGGCCAACAAGCTCGCTCTGGAGGCTGTCCTTCACATGGTTGACCAGGAAGTGCATCACTGCCTTCGGCACACTGCGGTGGAGACAAGGAGGGAGAGAGGAAACGGACCGAACAGATGGTTGAGAACAAGGACGCAAGATGGCCTGGTGATTGTGTGGTCCCCCAGATGGAGGGGCTCGGGTTTGACCCACAAGGTGGCCGTGCCGGTCGAAGTATTGCGCTGTTGGAGTACGCAGCTATGAGTTAAATACAATATATTTATCCCTGTTGAGCTCTGTGGAGCCCTACACTCCAACAACATGGCAAAAATGCACTTTGATAGGATGGAAAAAAGAATCAAATCACTCCTCTCAGCTACAAGCCCATTGGTTCCTACTGACATAAATCTTTACAAGCACTTTCCAAATCTATAGTTTCATCCTTTAAAAAGGCTTTTAATTTCCTAAAGCAACTGGGAAACGTAGTTTTTGGCAAATGTTAATGAAAAGGCATACATAGGACATTTGTTGGGGACCATTTTCCACTGTGGATTAATACACATTTGGCGCAGTAGTGTGTCTTTACAGCAGGACAACAAAAAGAGCACTATGGCACAGAGGAATACGATATATCAGACTTTGATACATATGGGATCAATTAATATGGTTTTGTCATTCCAAGGGATTTGTTGATAGTATGAAATACAGAAAATCACCAGACCTGTCCTTTAAAGAGAAGCGAGCTGGCCTACCTGTCCTGGATGTTCTTGCGGACGATGAGGAAGTAAGACTTGATGAGGCGCTCGATGACCTCACAGTCCCGCTGCTCACGTGATGACAGCTTCCTGGCGACCGGCACAGGCTTGAGGGAAGGGAAAAAAAAGGGGGACGAGGTTTTAATCAACTGTTCACTGAGAAATAATGCTGTCTTCGTAACGGGGCTTAATGGGCTCATGTTTAGGTACCACATCAAGTAGGTTGACAGCTCCTTTGAGGGGGCTTCCAGGTCCGGAGCCGGGGGCTTCCTCTCCTTTCTTCAGCATCCCCCTCCAGTTCCCTGTGCCGTCCTGCTCGCCCTGGGGCCCTGCTGCTGGGGCCTGTGGAGCCAGGAACAAAAGAAATATGATAGATGGTCATGGCCAATACAATTATTAGAGCAGCACCATTAGGGTTCACAGGGAAAGGATGGTTAGGGTATGTAGCATAATAACCTTTGACCGGTTCATATGCACGAGTGAAAACAGGCATGTACACGAAAAGAGATTGTAGCAACGTTCAAAATGAAACCTAGCAATTCAATGTTTTTGTTTTGGAAATTGAGAAAAGAATTTGGGAGCACCTCCACTGCACTCAGAGAAAGAAACTGAAATAACCATTTAAAGATAAAACACAATGCAGTAAATAAAACAAACAACAAGGCTTACAGTCTGTAGCCATGCTAGCGGCTTCATGAGATTGTACTTCACAGCTTAAGCTTTAAGCTAAATGCAAACATCAGCATGCTAACATGCTCGCAGTGAAAATGCTAATATGCTGATGTAAAGCATGTGTAAAGTTTAACTAGCTTAGTTTAGCATATTATTAAGCTAACATGTGCTAATTAGCATTAAACACAAAGTACAGTTTAGGCTGATGAGGGTGTCATTAGCTCTGAGGGTGAGTGGTGGACAAACTGAAATGGTGCTATATGAAAGGTTAAAGGTCCAGTGTGTAACATTTAAGATCTAATGGCAGACATGGAATATAATATGCATGTTTTCATTAGTGTATAATAAACTGAAAATACGTTGTTGTTTTTTAACCTTTTTAGAATTAAGAATTATTTAGAATTAACTTTCTACAGATGGCGCGGGTCGCCTTCCATGGGACCGACATTTTCCTACAGTAGCCCAGAAGGGACAAACCAAACACTGGCACTAGATTTTTCGCATGTTTCTTCTTTGCGCTTGGAAGACACTACACACTGGACCTTTCACTGATTATAATTCATCTTGAGGGGAACAACAATAGTTAGGGGGGTCACCAAAGTAAGTGGCCTTTATCGTCTAGGGATTAAGAATGTCTGTAATATCATTGAATAGTTGTTAAGATATTTCAGTCTGGATTAAAGTGGTGGACAGAGCAACGGACTGGCTGACATTAACCTAACATATGCACTTACAGACCAAACAAGCTTGGATAGATGGTGCAAAGTGGTAGAATTTCCACTATGACACAGTTCCTTAAAACCAAGTACTAAGAAATCCAGGGCAACTGAAGTGTTAAGAGGTTGGGAAAGGAAAGAGAGGGAGAGGAAGGCATTTTCTGTGAAACAGGTGAACCAACTTTGGGGAAACAGACTCTGCAGAAAACACAACAGTTGTTAGTGCAAGTCCACACAGGCTGAGGGAGAGCGCAGAGGCATTCTGGCATCAGCAGACCCAGAGATCGAGTGCATGCCTTAGCCTGCCATCATCCCATCATCCA